ACCGGGTGGAAAGGTACTTACATGTGATTAAATTGATGAAGTCTAGTATTGGACATAATGTCTTAATGCAGTTTTTGAACTCTTTTTGAAAAGTTCAAACAGAAACAGGTGCAAAACAAATTAATTTTGAGTTCAGTTTCAGTTTTCGTAGCCACAGAATATTTTATCCCTGACGAAAAAGAGTGAATCTTAAAGGGGATAATATTGTCAGGCTATTTCCTATCTTTTTGAAAAGCTAAAATGTGTGCCGTATCGATTGAATTCTAAAAGTAATGGTCCAGTTTTGTTATTTAAGACTACAAATTAATATTTAGGGCGTGTGGCATTAAAACTGTTTTCTGTCGTCTGTTTATACGGATGGCAAGGATGGACATAGATTAAAACTGCGAAAAAATTCGGCCAACCTTTTCACGTTTTGATGCCATGACTTCAAAAATCACTGAAAAGTCTTATTATTTGTGCTCCCTGATGGAATTTCAGTGATTTTGTTACATCTGCGTCCTGCGTCCCTGACGCATAAAACTGATCCCAAAGAAGCAAAATAATTCCCGGCATGCGTCCCGTAGGACGCAAAGATCGATCGATCGATCGATGTGAACATGTCTATTTGTAGAAATATCCCGTTCGTGTAATTTCTGTGGCAGTTATTATTATAGCTGTTGTTTAACGATGCATACTTTTTTAGACGAACTATATTTTAATTTCAATATATTTTAATACAGGGTGTTGAAGTCTGTCTTCAGATTAACTGAATACCTAAAGGCCCAAACATTTTCAATTTCGGACTCATTTTTTTTTTAACGGGGACTCGTTGTTTTTGGACTGGGACTCGTGATTTTTTACAAGATGAGTCCCAGGACTCACCATAACTATTTGTAACTAAATCACTGGAATTTGTCTGATATTTTGTTCCAGGAGCATTTTAAGTAGTGGTCATGAAGCTGTATAATACGTTCAGCACATAATTGACCTAAAACAGCGCTATCCCCCCATTCTAAGCAAAAGCCATCTCTCATTAAAAACTGATAAACATAACATGCCAAAATAACCGTCCAGTTATTTCAGAAAAAAATTGTGAAGTCATTTATTTTTTATTGGACGGTTTAGTAATATCGCGGGA